AGTGAAGTGTTTTTGAAGCCATCGATTGTTTATATATGTGAGTGAGTAGTATTCAGAAGTATTTTCAATTGTCACCCAAATTGATTTCAATTCAAGGGCCACCGGTAGACCGCTGTTTCAGTCTATTGGACATCGTCAGTACCAGGCAGGAGGTCCTCGATTGAAGACAACATGTGAATAACCAAGAAAAGTACTCAAAAAAAATAACTGCGTAAACACAAGCGAGACATAAGTGGAACCACCTATTGGTGTGACACCCAAGTCAACTTGCCAAGTGTTGGTGATTTGACCAATCAACCGACAACTGCGGTGCCGGTTGGGAAGCTAACCTGAAATGCCATCCTAAATTGAAATCAATATGGGAATGATCAAAATAGTACTCATCTATTTATCTTTTGATTTTCATGGAATTATTTTCCAGCAGCTTTCTCGATTTGTGTGTGTGTGATTCTTATATAATCAGAAACGATTTCCGAATAACGAAATTAGTTAGCTCCTCAACTATATTATTAAAGGGGAGCTGGAAGGTAGGTTGCACTTATATCGTTTACTTGAACTATACAATTGAAGTGGAAATAATCCACGACACTTAAGAGAAGTCAGATCACACCGGTCGGTTTCGTTTGAATGTGTGGGCTGGAATTTATAACGATCGAATACTTGGACCTCATTTCTTTTCTGACACTTTGAACGGGAACACCTATCTTCGGTTCTTAAGAAAGGAATTCAAAGAATATATGGATACGTTTCCCCTTGTTAATTATAACAGCTGCTGGTTTCAGCATGACGGGGCTCCTCCACATAAAAAAGAGCAGTTTGCGAATATTTACATCAAAGATGCCCTAATAAGTCGTTAGGAAATTTTGGACCAGTGAGGTGACCAGTAAGGTCATCTGATAGTTTTGGGTACCTTCTTGTGGGCACTTCAAAGAACAGACGAAGAATATGACACAGTGGGTGAACTTAGAGAAAATATAACGCTATGCAGGTCTACCAGAAGAAGTGATATTGTTAAGTCTGTTCTTAATTAGAGAAGATGAGCTTGCTTATGTATTCCAGAGGAAGGCTATCATTTCGAACACTTGTTGTAATACTTTTTTTGCATTATTAACAAGTTCATGATTTCATTCTTGGTTTCTGAAAGAAAATGTACCTACTTAGCCAAGTGTTTGTTAAAAATAGCGAATAATATTCTATCCGGCTGTTCTCACAACTAGTATTTATTAAACAAAACTTTTCGATGGAGTCATGACCATCTCAGATGAAGTTGTTTTTTGTTAATACCTTTGGTTTCAGAAGAGCAAATTATAGCAAATTATACATCAATGACATCAGAATGATAAGCACACTTTTTTGTATAAAAAACAATATGGCGCCCATGATAGAAAAAAAAGTTGATGATTATTGCCAGAAGACGAAACGTCGGATAGTGAATCTGAACATGAAAACATGTCGCTAAAAACAGTATCAATGAAAATTTGCTTTTGGTTTTGAGTTATATTGTCAACTAACGCTATTGTATTCGTTCACATCCAGATAAATTACATTCGATTTGATCACTTCAGATCATCAAAAATCATTTATTTATCACTCGGCAATCACCAAATACGTTTATAGACTTAGTAACATGCTTTCTTTCATTGACTTTCAAGTTTTAGATGAATATTTGTCGATTCTGTCATCAGTTCTGATTTATCACTTCAAGTGCAAAATTTTCTTACCAAATACTACCAGAGATAGCGTTATTCAAAATATTATTGTTATTATCAGTCATGAATGCGGGAAAAAGCATCACTGAATACTTGTATTTTGCTACAGTAAACAAATTATAAATTTTCCTTGCTTCACAACCCACATTCACTTTTGTTCGCTAAAGATAATAACGCCCACGTTCTTTGTATACAACATTCATGGAAACAATGAACAAGCCAAACGAAGGAAGATTATTCCAGATGAACGTAGTTTGATGTTCGATAGATACTTTTAATTGAATATAAGATAAGGAAAACAACTTTTGTCTAATTTCTACCGAGTTTTCCATTTGTTGAGACCGGTTTTGGTTTGTTAAATTATTCTTTGTATCTGTAGAGTAGGGAAGGTGAGTGTAGGCCTACAGCATTTAGGCCACATGTGACCCATTGTACATTCTCCTGAGTAATTGTCCTCCTAGGTCATCGATCATCCTGTCCTTTCCAGGAAGATAGACTGGTCACTAGGAAGCATCTCCTTTATATTGGCAGGTGTAGGCCAAGACTCGCCGACAGTGGCCAGTCAGAAATCCTACTGTTAAGCGTGGATTTTTCCTGGTCATCGCCAGATATTCCTTCGGCGACAGCTTTTCCCAGGATGATCCTGGCAAGATTGCATCCTTTGATTCCATCTCATCTCTTTAGTCATATGTTCACTCTAAGAATAACAGCACAAGAATACCAGGATCAGTAACCTACTTAAGAAACAAACTCGAGAATCCTCAAGATATTGTTGATGCCTTCAGTATTTTTTTCAGTGAGGTGTATTCAAAATCTGGCTCACTTTTGAACAAAGTTTCGCCGAGGGCCCTTGCGAGACACCTCTACCACACATCTAGCTTGAAATCGGCCAACGCCTGTTGCCCGCAGATGCGGGATAGGGTAGTTGACCGATAACTTTACTGGGTGAGTGCCGTGTGGTCTGCACCGGAGGACTGTCAAACACCCATAAGAGAGAGACAGTGACCCCCCCACACTCACCTCTCAGGGCTCCAACCTAGGACCTCTTTTGTTTTTATTGTTCATTAATGACTGTGAAAGTTCAGCTTGTGAGCGGTCCGCGGATGACTTGAAATTATTTTCCATAATTGAGGAAGTAGGTGATTGTGTGAATCTTCAATCTCAATTACAATTTATTGTTGCTTGGTGTAGCAATAATAAATTGAAACTCAATGTGAAGAAATATAAAGTAGTGAGTTATAGTCGAAAAAAAGAGGTTTATACATTCCTAGGGGTATTATTCGATCATAAAATAACATTTGGTAGACATATTTCATAAATAGTTTCAGAATCTCTCAGAGCTTATGGTTTCATTGTAAGAAATTGCAGAAACTTTCATAATATTGAAGCCATGAAGCTGTTGTATTTCACTTACGTACGTTCGAAGATAGAATATGCAAGTATCGTCTGGAGTCCATTCTATGAGATTCATAACATTGCCATTGAAAGAGTTCAAAGAAAGTTTTGTAAATTTCTAATTTTCAGAATAGATGATTCTTACCCTGAGAGAGGTATCAGTAATGATGTCATGTATGCACGTTTGGAACTTTTTAGTTCAGAGCATCGCAGAAAAAGTGCGTCACTCATATTTTTATTCAAGTTAGTGAATGAGAGAGTTGATTGTCCTAAAACTCTTGAACAAATCAACTTCAATGTACCACGGCCAGCTTTACGATCTCAATCCATTTTTAGACCTCTCAGAGCAAAAACTAAAATTATGCTCAATTTCCCAATATATGTTTTATGTGCACAAATTCCAATAGCATTTGTGCCCATGGTGATTTATTCTTCACTAACCTTCATAACATTATCACAATTAATAGCATGTCCCTACTTGAAGTAGGTAATTAGAATTAGTTTTACCTTTTTGTTCATTTTATTTTTCGTTTATAGTTAAGTATTGTGAATAAAATTTTATTTTGTCCTGTAAATGGGTAACTGTTGGAGAATGAGACTATTATTATTATTATTTTTAGGGATTAAGCATGGGTGTGATGTTTGGCTAATTCCGCAATTGTCGAAGTCACTGAGCCGTTGGTGTCACTGGGTCCTAAAATTTTAAGTCCAGCCACTTCCTTGGCTGTAGAGTCGGCCATGCGATTACCTTTACAACCATCGTGCCGTTCAACCCACCTCAGGATAATGTTATTATCTACCGAAGCTTTGGCCAAATCTTGGTTGTACTCTAGTACTAGCCCTAAGGTAACACGTTGTCTTTTCAAGGCTTATAGGGTCTGTCTACTATCAGTGCAGATTGTTATGTTTTTGCCAGAAATTTCTTGGTTACTTCTTTTGTGGCGATTGACATACCAGCCAGTTATTGGTGGTGGTGTTGTTGAACCATTTTCATATTAACTGTTTCAATTGTTGCCATTTTCAAGTAGCAGACTGTTACAATTTACTTGAAAATGGTATAACAAACGAAAACCGGTCGTAACAAAAAAAAAATTAGTAGAAATCAAACAAAAATTATTTTCTCTATCCTACATTCAATATGAATTTCTACAGAATGAATAGGTCATCAATCGAACAAGATACTTTTAACTGAACGAATCATATGCTGAATCTGTTTTCATGTTAACCAACTTGGTGAAAACTATTGTAGTGGTATATGTCTGGAAATATATTTTAATTGTTTGATTGTTCTGATTCGCTATCTGGTAAACGAGTCAGCAATAAATTGATGAGAATGGTANTAACTACCTGTTTTTCAATTGAATTCTGAGTAGCGTAATTCATACAAAAATATTATTTTCAACAGTTCTCAACTGAAGATTCATAATCTAAGGGGAAAATGAAACGAAAACATATTTCATTGTTATTTATTTAGGGACAGTCTAGAAGGCACTAGTTTGTGATAAATATTCGAATACAGTCAGTGCTTTGAACCTTAACCACTTTTACAAAATACAGTCCAATCAGTTGATAAAGTTGCTTATATATAACATTCTCAACTCACCAAAATAATTTCCTGTATATTTCATTTCGTCAATGACAGAATAATATAAATAATAATGTCACAAAATGACTTGGTGCTTTGTTGAAGTCAAAAGTGAGGTGATAATTCAAAATTACTCTACAGCAAGTCCCTTACATTCTCACATTATACATAGTTGATACAACGAACATATAAAAAATTGATTCATTCTTAGGTCTAGATATCACGATACTTTGATATATTATCATACCGCCAGTCTTTTGAATAGGATAAGTCCTTATTGCTATAAGTCTGTACAAATTAGTATGAAGAACTTATCTGTTCAAACCTGACTGTATGGTGCACCTGCACGAGGTAAAAAGTTTGTTATTCATGGGAATCCTCTGCGTGGGTAAACCTGAAAGTCCTTTCACATAAGTATAAGTCACTGGTTGCCTCAGTATCCTCTTCGGAGCAGGCTTCTTGCTCTTCCTCTTCTCCTTGTTGCTGGTGCAGCTTCTGGAACGTACATTTAGACTTAAATTCTGGAACACTTTCCTGATACTCTCAGCTGAAGTCGAGTGGTGATGTCTAGGCCTTTGATGAATGTCACTTCCAGATTCACTAGAACTACTTGACATCTGGTTTGGAGACGACGATCTGAATCCCGAGTCACCTGAGTTAGCTCCCTTTCTGTTTCTCGAACTCCGGTTGGTGGACGTGGAAGAACAAGAATCTGAGCTCGATGATCGGCAATCCGGTTCTTCTGGATAGAGGATGTCTTCGTTGGAACGTCTCACTAGTTTCCTGCCTATGGCACGAAACAGCCTGATCCCCTTCATCTCCCTCGACGGGGAAGGCGTCAAAGGCGACCTGCTTCTGCTCTCTGGCATGATGGAGATAAGCACTAAGTTATTTTCACTGTTAGACATAACTTCACAATTTGCGATGGATGTCGTAGAGCGGTAGCTATTAACTGAGGGTAACGATGTTTACGTTCGCTTTTATAGGGGAAGCAACGTGGGGTTGAAATTGTGGCGCACGCTCGAGCACGGCAGAGGTTGAAAACACGTGAAATCGTCGAAAGGAACATGATATTTATCAGGCGAATGCGTAGTTTGGGAGTTTGTTGTTTGTTGAAGTTAATCAGAACTCAAAGCATTGCTACGGCTTTGATTCCATTGTGAGGGGCTGGGAAATTGTTAATTTCATCAACGTGGAAGAATTTTCAATAATAATAATGATCGGTATCAACACAATCTGGATTGTCGTATCAAGTGAAGAGTGGATGCCTATAATTGAAATGAACAAAATTATCAGCCAATTATTTCAGTAATGCCTGTTACACAGATGCGGTTCAGGAAATAAAATTGAAAAACAGAACACATAAATTTTCTCAACGAATGCATCATTATGCTTTTTGACAAACATGCTCCAATTCGCACTGTAAACAAAAAACATAAAGCATCCCCGTATTTAACTCATAAATATCAAATTGATGATGAAAACTCGTGATAGAGCTCAGGCCAAATATTTCAAAGAAAATACATCAGCAGCTAGACAGTACTATGTAACATTACTTAACTACGTCAATGACGAAGTAAAACGTGAAAAAACAGCATATACAGGGCTTTTCATGATGAGCGTTAATTAGCCATTTCTGACAAACTATTTAACGGATCAACCTGAAAATTTTACAGTGTGAGGATCTTCATTCCGAGTCATATTTTCATTTGCCTCATACAGGGTCTTCGAAAAATGCAGATACTTTGATCTCATGAATAAATGAGTGGAACTCAATTATTTCAAATGGAACACTCTGTATATTTCAACATTTTTGAGCTCTACATCCAATTTTAGATTAACTTTGTTTAGATAATACTATTTCTATTTCAAACCGTTTTCGAGATAAACTGTTTCAAACGGAAACTGACGTGGTTTTCTTGCTCGTTTTCTTGCTCATCACTTATTTTGGATATTCAAAATTTTTTTTATACTAAGTAATATTTCTTTTTGATTAAGTTTTTTAACTGTCTCAGATCAGTCAATTCGAAATTGGTATGTACCTACCTTAGAAAAAGTTATAATTTGTATACATTGAGGTATTGGTCTCTAACGTACAACAGTACACATTATTATTTTTTAATAGTGTGCTTTAGAAAAATAAATGAACCAATTATTTAACGTCAGACTTTCGTTGGTGGTTTTGACTGATTGTGATAGCCACCAATTATAATAGAATAATGTCAAGATTAGGTTACAGTAATGAAGATTTCTTGAATTTATTAATATAATTTATGGTAAGTGCAATAGAATTGCAAGTAGAACATGCCGAGTATTTCATGAAAGATATCCACAATTTCCGAAGCCGAATAATAATGTGATAAATCGACTACTAAAAAACTGTAGGTTGAATGGAACTTTCCGTCCAAAAATCATTCGTAAGAAGACTAAAGTGGATGATGATGACAATGGTATAACAGTTTTGGGATACTTTCATGCATTTCCAAATGCTTCTCTGCACGAGGCTGAAAGGGCCCTACGTGACAATCTGTCGAATTCTTAATAAGCATAAATGGCATCCCTATAAGTTCTACTGTGTCCAACATTTGAAAGAGACTGATTCACCTCGTAGAGTGGAATTCTTTGAATGGTTACTTGTCAAGACTCAAGAGGATGAACATTTCCTTGACAATATCATATGGACAGATGAGGCCAAGTTCACAAAAAATGGAGTTTTCAATAGACACAACAGTCATTATAGGGCGCCAGAAAATCCCCATGTTGTTCGCTAAAGGGGTTTTCAAGAAAGATGGCAATTCAATGTATTTTGTGCCATAAAGAATGAGTCAATTTTTTATATCGAGTTTTATGATGAAAATTTGAATGCATCAAAATATGAAGATTTACTGAGGAATGGAATTCAAATGATTTTAAATAATAGACAAGGAAGAGAACGTGTATGGTACCAATTGGATGGTGCTCCACCCCATAATTCTCATTCAGTCAGCGAAACTTTAACCGAAATCTTCGAAGACAGATGGATTGGTAATAATGGACCTTTTCGTTGGCCTCCTAGAACACCAGATGGCAACCCATTAGATTATTTCGTGTGGGGTTTCATTAGAAATATGGTTTACTCTACTCCAATAACAACAATGGAATTGTGATGATGATGATATTTTGACTGCTATCAAAAAAATTAAATCTAATGCTTTAGGTATTGACAATATAAATATCAAGATGATTTCTTTAGTGATACCACACTGTATTGATGAAGATAAACATATTTTTAACGAGTCCTTCAGACATGGTATTTTTCCAGATGTTTAGAAGGTTGCTAATATAATTCCAATTCCGAAAAAGAATGCACCTACCACGTTCAGTGACCTACGCCCTATCAGCATTCTACCCTCATTCTCTAAAATATTCGAGGAAAATGTTTCCCGTCAAATAAGAGTTTTTCTTGAAGAAAATCGAATACTCCCGTACGAGCAGTCTAGGTTCCGCAAAAAACACGGAACACAGACTGCCCTCTTGAAAGTGATCGACGATTCAGAGATCAATCAAAAGTCACCATTTTAGTACTGCTTCATCAAAGTAAAGCTTTCGATTTAGCTAATTTCGATTTACTCATCAGCAAGCTCAAGTTCATAGGATTCGATGACATTTTTCTTAAATGGATCTCACAGGCCGATCACAGAGGGTCAAACTGAATGATTACTCATGGCCATCCGTAGAAGAAACAATCTCAGGTGTACCGCAGGGAAGTATTTTAAGACCCTTGATGTTTTCAGTGTTTATTTTTGATTACCCCACTTTCTTATCACATTGTCGAGTACATCTATACGCGGATGATATACAGTTATATTTGTCTTCTCATAACACCGATACAGAAATTTGCGTGGCCAATATAAACACAGATTTGCACAAAACATTCCTATACTCAGAGAATCATGGACTGAAAATCAATCCAAATAAATCTTTGGCCTTATGCATAGGGTCTCAAAGACAAATAATAGAAACCTAGTGAAACTTCAGGCTTACTCTCGATAAAGCAGACATTGACTGGGTAGACTGTGCTAAAAATCTTAGCGTAACCATCGAGAGTTCTTGTCTTTCCATGATTATGTGACAAACATTTTCAAAGTATGATTCTTTAAATTCAAATCGCTATATAAATTCAAGTATCAGTTATCAGAAGAAATGAAACTCACGTTAGTTAAAACAATTATTTACCCCCATATCGAGTATTGTTGTTCGGTGTATTACAATTTTTTGCCGCAATATAACAAGCAGAAGTTACAACGTATACAAAATGCTTGCATGCGATTCGTATGCTGTATACCATATGGTGAACATGTCACACTATTTTTGTTAAAAATGAAGGAGCTGAATGTGAGGTACAAATATATGAGAGTCAAATATCTGATGAAAATTTTTTTGTTTAAGTTGCTTAAAATCACAGATGCTTACTGGTCAGTGCTGATTTAAAAAATTTAAAATCCAATGTATGGTAGTGCAATGAAATTGTTAAATTTACCAAAATAATGATAGAATATTGAAAGCTATTAGCAACTATATGCTCTATAATTTTTTTTCTCTTCTTTATCATTGTTATGATAGTGAATAATTATTTTTATAATTATTTTCTTACACTTAGTGTATACTTTTTGGGAGGAGTGGAAGATAGCCTTTGGCTAACCCTTTTTTTTATGTATAAATGTATTTTTCATGCATAATAAACGATATTATTATTATTATTTGAAGACGAATTGGAAATAGAAATGACGCAAATTTTCATCTCCTTCACTTAAGAAAGAGATTTTTTACTTGGTTCAAATGGAAAACTCTTTGATAATTTGTTGGTTTGATGTAGATTCCTGAAACTATTCGACAGCTAAATTTCAGGACAGAACAATTCGTTACAATCGATACATTCGCGAATAAAAAAATTGAGGGTATTTCGCTGGAAAGTTTCACAAGTTCTTGTCTATATAAACAAGTTAATTGGGGAAAGGGATGCACGTATTCTTCAATAGAATAAGTGTAGGTCCTGAAATTGTGGCTAAATCAAAAGTAGTATCTGAAATGGCTTTCAAAAATAACAACTCGATATTGATATTCTTAGTATCAGTTCCGAAAACTACATGTTCTCTCGAAGAAAAACTCATAGTTATATTTCGTTGTACGGGCATGCTCTCATCAATGTAACTCGAGTAAATATTCATGAACGTTTCGAAGGATTGAGAATACAACTTCCTGCTTTTGTTTATTGAAAGATTTTTCAGTATTGAATCCGTGGAATTAGTGATTTTTCCATTTTTTCACGTTGATACACTCGTTTCAAACATATGTTTACAGTTTCAGCTGTTCGGCATGTTTAGTTTGTTGGTGAGAGTAGGTAAGAATTTTACGTGTTCGGAGATTTTCTGCTATCAAAAAAATTTTGCATCAAATTCAGTTCGGAAAATTCAATCAAGTGCTCAAAAATACTTTAAATGTTGACGAAGGCATACGATGATTGTATTCTGAGTCGAAAAATGTACACAAGTTGTTCAAGCTTTTCACAGAAGGTCGAGAAGATGTCAATAAAGACGCCTTAGCACAACAACAACTGATGAAAATGTTGAGAGAGTGAAAAAAATTATTATAGGGAATCGTCGAATCAGAAGTTGTTGAGGATGTCGGCATATCGGTTGGTTCATGCTATGTAATATTTTTGAAAATCTCGGGCATGAAGCGTGTGGCAGCGAAGTTCGTTCCAAAATTGCTGCAGTTTCACCACAAAACCGTCGCGTGATCATCGCTCAGGAATTGTTGAATAACCTCAAGGGCGATACAGAAAGGGTCATAACCCAGATAGCACAGGACGTTTTGAAGACGTCCATTA